ATATATATATATATATCAATTATATGTATATTTGTTATTGAAATAGCGTATAAAATGATACCAAAGAGTGATAATTATTAAATACACGTACTTAAAAATTGATAGTTTACCTTTAGGGCAAGCAAAAATTGCGAGGATGAAGTGAACCAAAGAAAACCAATTGAACAGAGATGGAATACTGATGTATACTGATCATATATTTCACACATACGAATGTTCAATTTTACAGAATGCACTACTTTTCGCCTATAAAATACACTTCCTACAATAGTTATAAATCGCGTTATAAAAATTGCGAAAGATACAGATCGCGGCGCGGTGATCTATCGAATGACGATATTGCGATTCTCGAAGTGTCGGATCAAGATATCGAATCCTAACCTTTGTTAGGTTAGAAAGACCAAGAGAGAGGCTAATTCTCTGATTAGTTTATGAAATAACTAATAATATGAGATCTGTTTTCTGACTGAACTAGTAAACACCAGTAAACACTTTTGGAATTTAAAGTAAGATAGATATATGTTAGACGAAAGCGAGAAAGAGAGTTTTGGTGCAGTTTTATACAAAAATAAAAACCAGACTTAAAATGTTCAAACAAATTTTTCGATCTGCCGGGTCGTATAATTTAAATCAGATTTTATTGGGTAAGCAAAAACAATTAGGTTTTTCTCTTCTATTTGAATATTGGATAATATTAACTTAAAAAAGCGGCAACTGAGCAACTCTAGTATTGTTAATCTTTAACTGGACTATTAACAATTTAATGTCATTTAGCTATCTCTGTCATCTATAATTATACACGAATATCTTACAATATTAAATTTTTTTATGCAGATACATCACAAAAAGCTATCGCAATATATTTCAGTGTCGTTCAACATCAGGATACTCGGACGTTTAGTACTATCACATCTACGAGAAAATGGGATTTATACAGTGCTGTTTGTTTAGAACGTCATCCAATTATAATACAGTCAATGGGAGAAATGGAACTGAAATTTTATAATATGTTGAAAAAAATTGAATATGAAACTAGTTTAAAATCTGATCACGAACTGAAAAGAGAAAAAGAGGAACAAAAAAAGTCAAGCAGCAAGGAAGACACAATAGATTTGGTACAAACTGCACAGGAGTTTGAGGATAGCAGTCAAGAGGAATTAAACAATTTTAAATTTGCGCCAACAATTACGAGTATGTATTAAGTTTCTTTTCATAATAGAGCATAACAATTTGTAGAAAAGCAGAATATATGTTTATAAAATAAATCATGTACAAATCTTTATTTCATGAATCATGAAATTATTTTATTTTCTATGATTTTAATATTTTAATATTATTTTTCTCATAAATAATTTATTTGCATGCATTATTTTTAGAATTTGATGAACAAAATGTAACGTCAACTTTAAAACGTAAATTGAACAAAAATTTGCTTTTACTAGTACAACAAAAAGTAGGTAATTCACATTATTGGATACCTCCGCAAGGTATTCGAAAAGAAGGAGAGACAATGAGACAAGTATGTTTCCAATTTTTTTGTATAACTAATTTGATATGTCTGAATATTTAACAAAGACTAAAAATATAATTTGGTTAAATAAAATTATTCTTTTGCAGACTGCAGAGAGAGTATTACAAGATGCATGTGGTGCAAATATTAAAGTGAAGTTTTATGGTAATGCACCTATCGGTTTTTATAAATACAAATATCCCAAAAAGCTTTGCGAGCAAGGAAGTTATGGTGCTAAAATTTTTTATTTCTTGGCAAAATATATAGATGGAGATATCACCAATAATATAAAGTATCAGTGGTTGGATAACGAAGAATTAGAAAAAATGTTACCTAATGAAGTACAAAAAAGTATTTCACAATTTATGACATTTATTTAAAAGCTAATATAAAATATTGAATTTATTCTTTGTTCTTTTATTGTTAATGTAATCTATTTCTATATTAATAATAGTTATATTAAGAATTCCTAATACTCTTCAATATTAAGATAAAACACATATGAGGAGCAGACTTTCAAAATGCATTTTGTCCAAAATTTGTAATTTTCAAAAAATAAGAAATTACACACACAAAATTACGCACTTTATAGAAAATAATGCAATATGCCAATCGGTAGGATGTAAAATATTAAAATTGCTAAACAATTATTAAAAATGTTAAACAAATGCATTTTTTTGTAATTAAAAAACATAATGCACTTTGAAGTGTCTGTTCTTTTAGCATATAAATTTCATGATGAAAAAATGCTTTCTGAACATGTCAGAGTAGCTTATAAAACGAGTCTCAACATTGAACACTATGCCTCTAACTAAAAAAATGAAATTTTGGATAAAACTCATTTTGAAAGTCTGTTCCTCCATGTGTGTGTGTGTGTGTGTGTGTGTGTGTGGTGTGTGTGTGTGTGTGTGTGTGTGTGTGTGCGCGCGCGCGTGTGTATGTATGGAGTATCCCATAAGTTTTGGCCAATCGCTTTTGTGTAGATAGAGCGAATTAAATTGGATCCTCTATCATTTTGCAATTTTCGCAATAGTTAACAAGATATTAATTACTAAAAATTGTCAAATATTGGTTTTGAAGAATTTTTTTATTTAAATACTATCAACTTTACAGAAAAACTGCAAAAGAACATCATTCGACAAAAATCATTTATTCTCATAGAATTCTAAGAATTTTTCAGAATTTTTTAGCAACTTTTTAGTACTGCATTTTCTTATTTTTATTAAAGAGAAAATGCAGTATTAAAAAATTCTAAAAAAATTCTCAGAACTTTATGAGAAAAAAGTAAATGATTTTTGTTTCTTGCATTTTTTTCTGTAAAGTTGATAGCATTTGAGTAAAAAATTATTCAAAACCAATATTTAGCAATTAACATCTTGTTAACTATTGCAAAAATTGCAAAATGGTAGACTTTTCAATTCAGTTTAGTTCGCTCTTTCTACACAAAAGCAATTGGCCAAAACTTACGGAACACCCTGTACACGCACACACGCATAAGTGTATTTATCATTGCTATAAAATACTTTAATAACTTTGAATTATTGTAAATAATATAAAATACTGAGAGAGGGGAAGAAAGAGAGAGAGAAATGTTTTAATTAATTCTTGATTATTTCTATATCAATCTAATATTTGAAAATAAACATGATAGTTTCTTTAATAATAAAGATGTATTCAAAATATTGTTCAAGAATATTTATTAAATTAATTATTAAATTTTATGAAATACATAAAATTTAATAATCGACTACATGTAAATTTATTGGTGTGTGTGTGTGTGTGTGTGTGTGTGTGTGTGTGTGTGTGTGCGCGCGCGCGCGCGCGTGCGTGTTTTTTTTAATGCCTCTTTATTATTAAAGAAGATATTATTTGTGTTATTTTCAAATATTAAATAGATGATAGACAAAAATTAAAATTTTATGAACTTTATAATAATTCAAAATTATTAAAGTGTTTTATGTTAATGAAGTTATATGTAATGAAGTATATCTTAAAATCGACCAGATCTCTTTCGTCCAGTATATTTGGAATTATCTCTAACTTCTTTTCCTTGCCGTCGTCGCCTTTCTTTCTTTTCTAGAATCCATTCCCTACTTTTCTTCAGTGGTTTACCTCTGGCTTTCTTTATGTATTCCCTATAATATAAAATGCGTTAAAAAATGATTATTTTTAGAAAGTTAAAAATATAGTTTTAAAATATTTAAAAATGATTGCAAATTATAAAATAATAAAGAATGAATAACAAGAGATTCAAACCTTTTAGAATTAGCGACAGTTTGTCTATCTTCATTATCTATTCCTAGTGCCTTCGGAAGAGGAGCAGCTCCCCCAGTCATTAAAACTAAAAACATTTTCTTTGCTTTTGTGCTATTTGGAAAATCGACGACCACACCACCAAAAAAGCCAGCTTTTGTAGCTTGTGCTGTGATTAATTCAATCTGTTCACTATTCTCTGGATAAAATTGTAATACTGCTCTTGCGTTCCTTGATAGACATGCATACAATGTTGAGAAGAATTGATATAAACGTTTCGTAGGATTATGTGAAGCTTTGCTTGCATAACATAACCATTGAAGTGCAGAGATACTAATAGCTCCATCAAATGTACCAGCTTTAAATGGCAACCCTTGACCTACATCTCCCAGAATCAAATCACCATCTATTTCTCTCTCAATAGCTACATCTAAAATAATATATCAATATATGATTTTCTATAAATATATGCATGCATTTAACACTACATGCCATAAAAGATATTGTTAAACTATATCATATCAAAATTAAAATATTTACCAAGCATAGCCAAAGAAATATCAACACCTATCCATATATGTCCTTGATTGTCCAATACGCTACCACTAAGGCCTGATCCACATCCGATATCCAAAAGTAAATAGCTCTGATTTTCAGGTAACAAAAGAAGTTCTATAGCACGTTCAGACATGTGTATTTGGATTTCTATCATACGAGAACTTATCAAAAAAAGATATTATTACATATATTTTATTACAAAGATGTAATAGATGTAGATACATAATTTGTATAAAAATTATGACATACCTTAAAGTATATTTATTAGCTTCTTTTTCATCATAATACTGTTTACAGAAAAAATAGAATTAGCTTTCTTTGATTTATTAATACAATTTTTAAATTTATAAACATTTTATTAATTATAAATTAAATTATTATTTTTTTATTAATTATAAGTTAAAAAATATATAAAGTCAATGTAAGAGAGTTTATAATGTAAAATCTCAATAAACTTTGCAACTTACCACTTCAGGCGGTGCCATAAGCTCTGGACGCTTAGACATTTTAACTAATGATATTTATTCGTTTTTCAGTTCAATTTTTATTTTCTTTTATATATTTTAAACTGTGTTTGTTTTATTAATGATTAAATAATAATTAATCTCTAACAATAAAAATAACTTCGATAAGCATCAATATTATTGTATTTTTAATATTTCTAAGTCACTTATAAGATTTCTAATCTTTGATAAGTTAATATTTTTTGGTAATTATATAGTTTGGCATAATCACCTAAAAAATCAATAAATCATAGAGTAAGTTTATTTGATTGCGTTTTTGCATGAAATGAAAAAATTTGGCAGAAATAAGCGTCAGATTCTTTCGTTTTGAGTGAAAACGCATCGAATGAATAATTTTTATTAAGATTTTATAAGTTGGGACGGGGGAGAGGCTATTCTAAATAATTACCTTAACTTCAATAGTCATCAACTTTAACGTTTAATATTTCGGTTCCCGGAGTAGAACGATGCTTATTTTTGTCAAATTCTTTCATTTCATGCAAAAATGCATTGAATAAGCTTAATTTTATTGATTTTTGAGGCGATTGTGTTAAACTATATAATTACCTATTTTTTTCAATATATTAATAATATTTTTAATAAATGTACATGTCTCATTGAACACATCAGAGAATTTAACCTAATTTGAAATAGTTGACTATAGATATTCTCTTACTTGCGAGAGAAACCTGAGAGAAGCATGCCCAAACTCTGTAACTGCAAAACGCTGCCGCGCACTACTGCCCCCCTGACAAAGTGAATATAAACTATATAGCTCTGAGAATAATACGTCTACTTTTCTGAAGGTACATTGTACTTTTCAAAACTGTAGATGATAAATCGATACTTAAAGCATTTTTTGATTAATCAGGTAAAATTCTTTCTTCCAATTGGTCAAGTAAAAATTTCGAAGTATTTGTAGCATCAAGTGAACCGCACCCGAAATTAAATACTAGCGACAAAATTAATATGTAATCACACACACTGCTTTTCAGCTCTCATGAAAACTGAAAGCACCAAGCCCGACAATTACAACAAACAAATTTGTCGGAGTCACTTTGTGTACGATACACTTGTGCAGTGTATCGAGTTCAGACATGCGAAGAATTACACCATTCAACCAGTCGAACATATCAGTTGCACCGACATTCGAAATGTGCAGTCCTAGCAGAAATCACTATGAATGCAAAAACGAAATAGAAATTATCAAATACATATTTTATTAACAATACATAATATATATTAGGGTTTGTATGATTTAATCTATAATATTTTTAATACATTTTTACGGCAATTGTGTATGACAGCTTTACGTGTACTAGTGCATCCCAGGCGAAATCGCTATTGAAAATTTTATCATCGGTCAATGATAAAATCTTCAGTAGTAAAATATTGCCATTGGTAAAATTCTATTGAAAGCACTGGATTGTATAAATGAGTAGCTTTCAATGCGAATGATATTCCTATTGACAATAATCCAATGATAAAATACTATACCATTGATCGAATGATATTCCTATTGATGCGTATTCAATAGTAACTAATATACCATATTAATTGAATGATATTCCTATTGACTACAATCAGTGATAAAATATTTTATCACTAACCGAGTAATTTTCTTATAGCGTTCTTATAGCGATCTTTCGGCTGGGATGCACTAATTAATGTGCACATTAAGCTGTTAAACACAACTACGTAAAAATGTGTTAAAAATAGATTAAATCGTACAATATTTTATTGTACTGTTAATAAAACATATAATTGACCTAGTTTCCATCGAGGGTTTAATCCGAATCAGAATGTAAAAACCAACCAATTACAGTCATTTCCCTGTTACAATCAAACGACAGGGGAATGCTCAACTGTAGTTAGTTCTTACATTCTGATCCGGATTAAACCCTTGATGGAAACTAGGCCATTGATAATTTCCATTTCGTTTTTGCATTCATAGTGATTCGGTTAGAGCACCGAATTCGTATGTATATACGAGACCAGACAAAACCTCCGGTTGTAAAAATTATCATTTTAAATCATTTGTATTTCGTATGAAGAGTTTTGAAGTGCAAATAAAAAGGTTTGTGAGTCATTCTATTAATTACAATTAATCATTCTTTTTTGGACCGTGTACTTGAAATAATTAATCGGATCTAAATTCAACAAAGTTTATATGGAATCGTTTGTATTTCGTATGAAGAGTTATGAAGTACCATTAAAAACATTGTGAGTTATCCAGACATTTTTAATTAAAATAATTTTGGTCAAATACATGATATTAAAATATCATGTATTTGACCAAAATATAGATACAGGCGCGGAAATTCCATTAAACGTGATAGGTAGTTTCTCTAGTATTTTGATATTTCAGAACGTATTATGGAATTGCTTGGAATTCCGATCGGAATTATTTAATTTTCCTACAGTTTCTTTAAAAAACACAATAGAAATGTAGGAAATAATTTAATTATTTTGATCGGAATTCATTCCGAATAATTCCATTATACGTTTTCTAGTTATTCAATCAACAAGATGGATGAGTAACTAACACTGTAAAATAAAATTCTGCATCATTCTCTATAATAGAAATGCTATTGTCATAAGATTTAATTGTATCAGGTTTTGAAATATAATACGAAAATTAGAAATTGTTTTATTGTTTTAATCATCACTCCTTCAAAGTATTGTGGAGTATCTAAACGTAAGTTAAGTTTAATTTTATATATAATTTAACAAAATTGACATCAGATAAAAAAGATATCATCAAGCATGATTATGAGAGGATACGTATGCAATTATGTTCTCCATTAACTAAAAAAATGCAATAATCAAGATAACTATGCAATATGTCTAATAAAAAACAATACAGAAATAGGAACAGGTAATACTGTACAGTTTCAATTATATTTTTATATATTAAAGTATATTATATATATATATTAAAGTAAACTTGATAAAGGAATTAATTTTTTTATATAAACAGGAAGGTTTCTTCCAAAATTAAATAATGAACAAAGAAGAATTTTGTTTAATTTTTCCTGATGATTATCTACATGGAATCGGTCATACGGTTATGCATTGACAGTTATGCATTGTGATTATGATGCAGAGACTAATTCATATCTTGAATTATTTTCGCATGTAAATAGTTTTTAAAAAATATATTTATATCAAGTGATATATGAATAAAAATATTTTAGGGTGATCAACAATGTAATTTATTTATAGTATCGAAGATTGCGTTAGCTTGTATATTATATTAGAATTCAAACAAATTGTACAGTTGTTAACGCTGGACATTATTATGATCTAAGTCTTTTAACAAGAGTTTCAGAAAATTATGTGGTTCCTTTTGCGTATAAAAAATAAAATAAAATTTCTCAAATCACCTAAAGTATAAATATTATATTTTATACTTTATTTATATTATTATATTATATTAATAGTATAAATATTACATGTCTGCCAGTTTATATTACTTCATGTATCCAATTAAATCTGGAGCATGCTTAGATGATCCTATCTAATAAGTATTGACAAGCAGATTTTATATTAAAATTAATTATAATGTAAACATAATATCTATATAATTTAATTTTGTTGTATATTTGATTGTATAATTTTTGTATAACGGAAAATCTTTTACTTTAAAAATAAATTGATTTTTGTTTTATCTTATTATAGATATTCAAGTTTAGAAGTACAAAGAAAGTTTCCTTTCTTTAAAGATGGAATATTATAAATAGAATATCAAGATGATTCGTTATGCACATAAAGTATTACTATATCTGAATGCCTCACATATTACTTATTGCATTAATGTCATTTTTATTACAATTTTCAATATTAAATATTTTAAAGAAAAATAAATGCATACTTTTTGAAAGATTAAATTTGATTGATATTGTATACAGTAAATCACACATTATTTCATAAGTAATTATTTAAAAAATACATTTTTATTATATAATTTTAAATGTAACTTACAATGTCTACGCGCTTTATAATTACATTAGATAACCAATGTCAAATCATTATATTCATGATGTATGGCAGAACTGTTGCAATATTTCTCTCCATCACAAATACTTATAACATATTCTTTGCCTTGCCTATTTTTCACATAATCTTATTTTTATTTCTGATAAGTTTTTTTGAAGTATTGATATTGTTAACAGACATTATATATTACGTACTGTAAACAATTCCATAATACATCCTGGAATAACAAAATACTAGAGACTATCTATCGTATATTTCCTAATAGAATTTCCGTGACCGTAACGCCTATCTATATTTTGGTCAAACATATTTTACATATTTTAATATTTAATTAAAAATGTCTGGAAGATTTATAAATGTTTTTAATGGTACTTCATAACTCTTCATACGAAATACAAATAATTCCATATATAAACTTTGTTGAATTTAGATTCGGTAATTATTTCGGTCAAATACATGATCCAAAAAAAATGATTAATTGTAATTAATATTAAATGACTCACAAACTCTTCATACGAAATACAAACGATTTAAAATGATAATTTTTATAACCGGAGATTTTGTCCGGTCACGTACATACGAATCGCACCGATTGCATATTTCAGGTGTCGGTGCAACTGGTGTGTTCGGTTGATTGAATGGTGCAGTTCCTCGCCAGTATCCGTCTGAACTTGGTACACCGCACAAGTGGTCCCGACAAATTTATTGGGGCCAGTTGGTGTAATTGTCGGGTTTTCATGAGACGCTGAAAAGCAATGTGTTATCACGTGATATTAATTTTGTCGCTAGTGTCTGATTTCAAGTGCGATCCACTTAATATTATAAATTTTTCGAAACTTTTACTTGACCAATCGAAAGCATCGAAGCAATCAAAAAATGCTTCGAAGCATTCATAGCAAGTGGACCGTAACCGAGCATAACCATCGTCGATGGTGACGCTGAAAATGAATATATCCAACTTGTAGCGTTAATTTACGATTTCCGATTACCGACTCATTATAGAATCAGCTTTACAATGAGTTTTAGGTTAGGAACATAAATCTCTATATGCCGAGAT